TTAACTGCAATTCCTATATAGATTTTTGAGTACACTTCAAAACCAATGGATGGAGTACTTGCCTTAATTACTGTCATTCAGGCAGTGACTCATAACACTACATTCCCATGGACCCTTCTGAAGAAACTTTTCCTATTAGACATTTTTTCCCCATTAGGGGGATTTCTTCTACTATCCTCTGCAGTATCTGCTGCTAGCCACCTTTTGAAGAGTTATCTGCAGCACTTGGGTTAGCATTCATGGAAAAGTAAAGGTCTGTGTTGTAGCAATGTTAAATTTAATCAACTAATTGACTAGTTGATGGAATTTCCATTGACTGGTTGACTTGTTGATAAGCAGAGCAGCCACAGTGGCCTTAGCTCCTGGACCAGGGAGCTAACCACATTGCAGCTCTGCCTTTTAAATGTATTAAGAGCCGCCTGGCTCTCAATATATTTAAAAAGGAGAGGTACCGTGTCTGAGCTTGGGCACAAGCTGGGAATCAGTTGATTATGTCTTCTGCTCTGTCACTGCTACCCCTCTGCCTCCCCTGGTCCCTGTGGAGATGGTGCTGGGGGGAACTGGCTTTTTAAGTCCGTTCCCCACAGCACCAGCTCCTGCTTCCCACCCTTGCTGCTTCTGGTAGAGGCAGCAAGGCGGGAGGGAGGAGAAGTGACTAGTTTATATCCCTACTGTGTTGTAGGCAAAAGTAAGCCTGAGTCTCCAGGATACAACTTTGTTTTTCTGAAGAGATTTAGGTTGTCTCCAAATACTGCCACTTTTTCTGTCTTTCCACTATCTGAAAAATGTGTCCTGATCTAGATAAATGCCATCTGCGTCTGTCATTTGGCAAGTGTTTGGTAGTACAGGTTGAATCTCTATTGTCTGGGACTCTCTGGTCAAGCAACCATGGATGTTGCTGGACTAGAAAACCCCAGCCATGGAGGTTGCCAGCGGCTTGGAGCTCAGCATGTCTACCAGTAGGCATCCTGAAGGGGAAGTGGCCTGGGGGCAGGAGCCAGATAAATGCCATCTGCGTCTGTCATTTGGCAAGTGTTTGGTAGTACAGGTTGAATCTCTATTGTCTGGGACTCTCTGGTCAAGCAACCATGGATGTTGCTGGACTAGAAAACCCCAGCCATGGAGGTTGCCAGCGGCTTGGAGCTCAGCATGTCTACCAGTAGGCATCCTGAAGGGGAAGTGGCCTGGGGGCAGGAGCCAGCCAG